CCGCCGCTCACCTGCCGGTCTCCATGGCAGCCGGCGCCGCGTGGAAGTGCGCGCGCCCGCCGCCTGCAGTCGCCCGACAAGGGGGCACAGGGTTTGTGTAAAAAACGCGGTGGAGGCCTCCTCAGAGCCACCGCCACCAAGTTCACGTTTCCACTGCCCTTCGAGGCACGGACTACTTATGAGCATCTCTAATTCTGCAGCTGTGGCGTCGACAAATCCTCAACCCAGCAGGTCCTGCGTGTGAAGCGCTACAAAGGAGATTGAGACGTTGTCCCTGTTCTAGAGGTTACAGCCTACTAGAGTGGCCTAGAGGCTGTCACCCACTGCCAAGGGGGCCGTTTCTGGAGGGCTTACTTCCATCCCGCCGCATGCATCCCTCTACATCTATGCCTCCACACCCATCCCTCCACATGCATCCCTGCACAGGCATCCCTCTACACGAATCCCTCCACACCCATCCCTCCACATCCATGCCTCCACACCCATCCCTGCACATCCATCCCTCCACATGCACCCCTCCACATCCATCCCTCCACACCCATCCCTGCACATCCATCCCTCCACATGCACCCCTCCACATCCATCCCTCCACACCCATCCCTGCACATCCATCCCTCCACATCCATCCCTCCACATCCATCCCTCCACACCCATCCCTCCACATCCATCCCTCCACACCCATCCCTCCACACGCATCCCTCCACACCCATCCCTCCACACGCATCCCTCCACACGCATCCCTCCACACCCATCCATCCACACCCATCCCTCCACATCCATCCCTCCACACCCATCCCTCCACACCCATCCCTCCACACCCATCCCTCCACACCCATCCCTCCACACCCATCCCTCCACATCCATCCCTCCACACCCATCCCTCCACACCCATCCCTCCACACCCATCCCTCCACACCCATCCCTCCACATCCATCCCTCCACACCCATCCCTCCACATCCATCCCTCCACATCCATCCCTCCACACGCATCCCTCCACACCCATCCCTCCACACGCATCCCTCCACACCCATCCATCCACACCCATCCATCCACACCCATCCCTCCACATCCATCCCTCCACATGCATCCCTCCACACCCATCCCTCCACACCCATCCCTCCACACGCATCCCTCCACACCCATCCCTCCACACGCATCCCTCCACACGCATCCCTCCACACCCATCCATCCACACCCATCCCTCCACATCCATCCCTCCACATGCATCCCTCCACACGCATCCCTCCACACCCATCCCTCCACACCCATCCCTCCACACCCATCCCTCCACACCCATCCCTGCACATCCATCCCTCCACATCCATCCCTCCACATCCATCCCTCCACACCCATCCCTGCACATCCATCCCTCCACACCCATCCCTCCACATCCATGCCTCCACACCCATCCCTGCACATCCATCCCTCCACATCCATACCTCCACATGCATCCCTCCACACCCATCCCTGCAATGCGTCCCTCCACATCCATCCCTCCACACCCATCCATCCACATCCATCCCTCCACACGCATCCCTCCACACCCATCCCTCCACACCCATCCCTCCACACCCATCCCTCCACACCCATCCCTGCACATGCATCCCTCCACATCCATCCCTCCACACCCATCCCTCCACATCCATCCCTCCACATCCATCCCTCCACACGCATCCCTCCACACCCATCCCTCCACACGCATCCCTCCACACCCATCCATCCACATCCATCCCTCCACATCCATCCCTCCACACCCATCCATCCACATCCATCCCTCCACATCCATCCCTCCACACGCATCCCTCCACACCCATCCATCCACATCCATCCCTCCACATCCATCCCTGCACATGCATCCCTCCACACCCATCCCTGCAATGCGTCCCTCCACATCCATCCCTCCACACCCATCCATCCACATCCATCCCTCCACACGCATCCCTCCACACCCATCCATCCACATCCATCCCTCCACATCCATCCCTGCACATGCATCCCTCCACACCCATCCCTGCAATGCGTCCCTCCACATCCATCCCTCCACACCCATCCATCCACATCCATCCCTCCACACGCATCCCTCCACACCCATCCATCCACATCCATCCCTCCACATCCATCCCTCCACACCCATCCCTCCACATCCATCCCTCCACACGCATCCCTCCACACCCATCCCTCCACACCCATCCCTCCACACGCATCCCTCCACACCCATCCATCCACATCCATCCCTCCACATCCATCCCTCCACACCCATCCATCCACATCCATCCCTCCACACGCATCCCTCCACACCCATCCATCCACATCCATCCCTCCACATCCATCCCTGCACATGCATCCCTCCACACCCATCCCTGCAATGCGTCCCTCCACATCCATCCCTCCACACCCATCCATCCACATCCATCCCTCCACACGCATCCCTCCACACCCATCCCTCCACACCCATCCCTCCACACGCACCCCTCCACACGCATCCCTCCACACCCATCCATCCACATCCATCCCTCCACATCCATCCCTCCACACCCATCCATCCACATCCATCCCTCCACATCCATCCCTCCACACGCATCCCTCCACACCCATCCATCCACATCCATCCCTCCACATCCATCCCTGCACATGCATCCCTCCACACCCATCCCTGCAATGCGTCCCTCCACATCCATCCCTCCACACCCATCCATCCACATCCATCCCTCCACACGCATCCCTCCACACCCATCCCTCCACATGCATCCCTCCACACCCATCCACATGCATCCCTCCACATCTATCCCATCCACATGCATCCCTCCACATCTATCCCTCCACATTCATCCTGCCACATCCATCCCACCACATCCATCCGGGCCTTTACAGCCGGCTTGACGCGAAGCCTTGCGACTCGTACAGTGTTTAAACCAGGTTTAAGCGAGGAGAGTTTGTTCAGCCAGCAGTTTTCCAAGCACGACACGCGGGCTCTTCCGTCTCTGGACATTCCCATTCTCTCGTTGCTTTGAAAAATCCTTTTGTTTGATGCAAGGGAGAAGGGAGCTTCTGGGTCATCTTTTAGGACTCCTTTCGCCAGCTGAAGCCTTTGGCATTAGTCCTGCACGCCGGGAGGCCTCTGTTTTTTCACCTAAGGCTTAGGAGTGCAAATCCAGGGCTCCTGGGTGTATGCTCAGCAGCGCTGTCCCTCTGGGTTCCCAGGAGCTTCCTCCCGAGGGGCCTCCTTCGTTGGGCCGCCAGGTGGCGCTCTTCTCGGTGGGAATTCACCTGTCATAGGTGGTGGGGCCGTTGCCTGGCAACCGAAAGTGGGCGTTCCAAACAATTGGGAGCCGGGATCCTCGCCGGCAAGGTCGTGTGCGGCTGCGCCGGCCTCCCATCCCTCCTGAGAGTTCTTGCTGGGCATTTCACCATGCCTCCCACCCGAAACCCTTTCCAGCAGCCTACGTTGAATAACGATGATTCTTTCTTGGGGAAACTGAGGGCTTCCAAGGTACGGTGGTTTCTTGTGCAGAGTCCTAGCAGGGCCGACGGCACTCTTCTTTCCGTCGCAGAACTCCGATGAGGACACAGGTCCTGGAGAAATCGGTTTTCAGCCTGCCTCCGTGTCCCCGTATTCAGGTCTGCTAACGTTTCAGAGGCGCCTTTGAGCAAAGAGAAGCACAGCTCCAGTCTAGATGAACTAGGGGCTCTCCCCGCCCAGAGCAGCTCGGTATAATGAGGCTTAAACGGGCCCAGGTTCCACCAAGCCACCCTTTGCCGTTTGGAAGTCTGTCCTCTGAAAAGGTCTGAGGTGTGGAGTGGTAGAAAAGCCTCTGAGGCCACTAGGTCATGCTTTATCCATGTGTCCTCACACCGCCCCTGTCTTCTGGTTAGTGCTGGAATGTGTTTGTGTATCAGCGATTTGAGAATTTAGATGATCCTTTTTCTAACAGAAGTGGCTGGGATGTTTGTCTTTTTTTTTTAATTTTTATTGACTTATTTGAGAGAGAGACATTGATCTTTTTGTTTCACTTATTTATGCATTCATTGCACGTGCCCTGGCTGAGGAGCTAACCCACAACCTTAGCATATTGGGACAATGTTCTAACCAACTGAGCTACCCAGCCAGAGCCTCCATTGCTCTTCAGAGAAAGGG